CTAATATGTTAAATAACAACTACTTGATGGTGAATAGTTGTACCTTAATATAAAGTGTTAACGTCATTTTGTTTACACGTTTTATCTTTTACTGTACACTTGTTAGCAGATATGTTTTCAAACTCAATATTAGCTCATTACGACACAAGTGATACATCAGAGCCTAAACGGACCTTCCACGTGTTTCCATATATTCGCATGCTATTCTCACCTGTAGCATTGAGCAAGTCGAGCAGGAAGGACCTCTTGTCGTTCTCCTCGACCCACACCACCTTCTGGGTGATGTTTTCTGAAGTGGAGCCGACACGGCCCACAGCCAGGAAGATGTAATCCTCCAGGAAGTCACGAGCAAGGATCTAATAAACAAAGAGAAAGGATGAGTGTGGAGGGAATGGTTGTGTAAACTATCTTAAGTTAGTTGGTCTCTGAGGGAAACATTTCCACGCTCAGGGTTTTATTTACGTGGCTTAAAGCATCTTAGCTTAACATATGAGATTCAAGAGTTACGTTAGCATTTGACTAGCTTGTGTTGAAAGCAACTACAAGTGTTCTCACTTTCTTCACATTATTTTAACTTTATCAACTGATATTGATCATAATATTCTATGTATAGTTGAAAGTCCACCGTACCTGGATCTCCTTGGGGAAGGTGGCGCTGAACATCATGGTCTGTCGGATGCCTTTAGGCGGCATGGTGTCCTGCTCCACGATGCGTCTGATCTGGGGCTCGAAACCCATGTCCAACATACGATCAGCCTCGTCCAGGACCAGGAAGCTGCACACACACATTTCATATTTAACATCAAAAACTCACATTTGAACCAGGTGATTCCCATCAGGACAAAAACCGTTTAAAAGGTCTCCTATTATAGTATTTGTAGGCATATATTAGAGGTCTCAGATGTATAGAAGTATAAAAAACTTGTCTATGATGTGTTTTGCTCAATATACCAAACAGATCATGCATTTAAGACATGCATATTCTATTTGACTTCCTGTCACTAAAGTGCTGATTCTGGGTCCTTGGCTTGATACGAGACTTTTAAAATGTGGTTTTCTGTGTTGTATTTACCTGCAATAGTCCAGTCCGATCTTCCCTCGCTCCAACATGTCCACGAGGCGTCCGGGTGTCGCCACCACCAGATGGCAGCCGCGCTCCAGCTCTCTGATCTGCTGCCCGATGTCAGCGCCTCCGTACACAACGCAGCAGCGCACACGTGAGCGGTAGGCAAACTGAAAACATAGAAAGAAGGGGAAACACGTGAGCGGTAGGCAAACTGAAAACGTAGAAAGAAGGGGAAACACGTGAGCGGTAGGCAAACTGAAAACGTAGAAAGAAGGGGAAACACGTGAGCGGTAGGCAAACTAAAAACGTAGAAAGAAGGGGAAACACGTGAACGGTAGGCAAACTAAAAACGTAGAAAGAAGGGGAAACACGTGAGCGGTAGGCAAACTGAAAACGTAGAAAGAAGGGGAAACACGTGAGCGGTAGGCAAACTGAAAACGTAGAAAGAAGGGGAAACACGTGAACGGTAGGCAAACTGAAAACGTAGAAAGAAGGGGAAACACGTGAGCGGTAGGCAAACTAAAAAAGGTAGAAATAAAAAAGGGATCAAGTTGAATTAAAAAAGATTTCCTCACCTTCCTCGCCTCGTCGTAGATCTGTGAGGCCAGCTCTCTGGTGGGAGCCAGGATCATGGCGAGGGGGTACTGCTTACGGCGGCCATACCTTCCACTATCCTGAGCACAAAACAACATATTTTAGAACAAACAAATCCAAAATATATACAGGTTATTTTCCAAACACTGTTCACTATCTGAAGTACCTGTGCTCCGTTCTTCGATGCTGCGAGAGCTTCTCCGGGGCCTTCGCTGTAGATCTGGCTCAGCACCGGCAGCAGGAAGGCAGCCGTTTTACCAGAGCCTGAAAGGAGGTTATATATGTAGTTATTTAAACTACCTTACATTGAAAAATGAAACCAATGTGAGTTCCACTTATCAAATGGCTACTCCATGAATGCTCCAACAATCAGACTCACGATATTGATTTGAAAATGATCGTATTGCTTCTGCTTAGAAAAATAGGTGGGAATGACAGAAACGTAACTTTAAATGACGGCAGCACTGATGGGAACTCTCGAATGTTCATATCCATCTCAGTAGATCAGGTGCATATTATAACCAAACCAGCTAGGTGGCAAAAAATGCTAATTTATGTCTATCAAGTGTTTTAAATGAAGAAGTAATACTTTAAGCTCTCAAATACAAGCACTGAGAATATTTAGCAAATATAAGTGAATGTGATCGAGACAACGTTTTCTGATTGTTATGCATCTCGGGGACTGCAAATGGAAATAGGCTTTTAGCGTATTCTCCTTTCCTCCATTTGAGATTAATTCATTTGTACGCATGGTACTTGTTTTATAAAAAGACATATCATTAGTAATAAAGGACTCACCAGTCTGTGCGCAGGCCATCAGGTCTCTCTTGGACTTGATGATGGGGATGGCGTGCTTCTGGACCGGGGTGGGGTGATCGTAACGACTCATGGCGATGTTTGCCATGATAATCTCACCCATGTCAACATCGTGGAACTGCAGGATACACAGACATGCTGTCAGTTTAAGAGACTCACAATGTTGTGTTGAAACCCAAATTAGGGAAATGGAATTCAAATGGCTCAATATCACAACACATGTCTCCGAGGGCTTCACAAATCAACAAACATGAATGATGATGTAAAAACAAACAACATATCTGAGAATATAGTAACATGGTAAATGAATGGGTACATAACACAATGACACAAATTAGGGCTGTGCGATTATGGCAAAAATCATGATTATTTTGGTGAATAATTGATATCACGATTATTCATTGACTCTGAAAACATCCATTTATTGAACTTTTAAATACAAATAATAATTTGAATAGTATTTTTTTAACTGTTGATTTCCCTGAACGTATAATTGAACTGAAAAACCAATACAAAAATAAGTGATACATTTATATCTACATTTAAATAAATACCAATAAACAAGATCAGATATTTGGGAGCGCACTTCCACAAGCTACTAAACATATATAAATATGATAAATACAAATAAATTAGATCAAATATGTTCTAGTGCACTGTCACAACCTAGCAAAGCAAAATAATCGTTTTTTTCGATGTTGTTTTCGTAATTGTGGCAGGCCAAAATCGTAATTGGGAATTAAAATACGATACGATTAATTGCAAAGCCCGAACAAATACAGTTAGCAGCACCTCCGGCATTGACACGCCGCTTTACTCTCAGTCAAACTGATTATTAGGATCTGCTGCTGAAGTTCACGTTACAAAGGGATATTGTTTTTTGGAAATAAAACATTCAAGAGCAGTCAAAATATCCAGTGGATTTTTTTACTGCTTCCCAAGCTCTCCATGTGGCCGAGGAAAGGAACATTTGGAGTTACAAGACAAGCTGTTAGGACTTTGGCCACTGCAATACAATTCCATAAAATGAAGGTTCATGAGGATGTCCGAACTGTGCTAAGAGGAAAGTGTCTACTCTTAAATGCTCACGGTCTGCCTCCCTAACCAACTCTGGAAGTTGGTTCTAGCACTTGGTATTATTTTTGTTGTTTGGAATGCATGCATCACAGCGTTAAAGACTNCCTTCTTCCGGATGTTGATAAAATCGACATAGTAAATAGGAAACAAGTGGGACGGACCTTATTACAACCCAATTAAATTCTACTTCTCTAAATTTCCACAAGGTTTCATTTTTGAGTCCACAAAGGTATTTCTTCTTGTAGCGTCGTCTTTGAAATAGATATTTATTATCACTATAATTTACAGATTGCCCTTGGTGTAAACATACCTTGTACGAAAGTAGTAAGGGAAGTATTTGTCAATTAGTATAAGCAAATCATCTTCCATATCTAACTGATGTAATGTAAATTACTCTCTGCTGCCCCCAGGTGGAGGTGCGTGGCGGTGCGAGCAGCGGAGACATCGTCGTGATCTCCATCAACCAGCCGGCCAACATCGTGGAGAAGAAGGTCCCAGAGCTGGAGAAGTGAGTGGAGTTTCTCTCAGGGTGGAGATCATGTTGGGGAAATACTGAATGTCCTCTTCCAGTATCAGAGTACACATGATAACAAAGGTATCCCAACTGCAGCTGTGAACATGACAGGATGTGTGATTACCTAGAAGACCATCAGGACTGTTTGAGGCATATGATAGCTATGTGATTAACATGATGATTCAGCCTCTATGGAGAGAGACATATGACAAGCATGCTCATTTCTGACGTGGAGCTAATCTGAAGTAAACATTGAATACTGCTTTCTATTCCTCCATCTTGTGACTGTGGAACTCCCTCTCTTGGATATCAGCATGTGAAGGACACTGTTCAGGAACTAGTTGATGCTCTGTATGTGATGACTACTTCCATTCTGGAGAGGATCACAGATACGTGGATCCTGAGATTCAAGCTCAAGCCGGGGACCAGGGATTATTCACATGTTAAAGTATTCAGAAAGAGTCTAGAATTTTGAGATCAAGAAAAAGTGAAAATTTTGAAAAAGTGAGGATTTGGGGATTTTGAGAAAAAGTGAGCATTCTGAGAATTTTAGAAAAAGTGAGGATTTTGAGATTTTGAGAAAAAGGTTAGAATGTGAGTTTTCATGAAAAAGTCAGGATTTCTTTTTGAAAAAGTGAGCATTTTGAGAAAAGTCAGCATTTTAGGATTTAAAAAAAAAAAGCCAACATCTTTAGAAAAAAACCAGTATTTTGTACATGACAACCGGTATTCCACCATCTTGTGACTGTGTAACTCCCTCTCTTGGATATCAGCATGTGAAGGACACTGTTCAGGAACTAGTTGATGCTCTGTATGTGATGACTACTTCCATTCTGGAGAGGATCACAGATACATGGATCCTGAGGTTGAAGCTCAGGTCACGGACCAGGGAGATTTTTCTCAATCGTTTTGATTATTATTTAGTGATCTTACTTTTCCAGGCGCTCGTTGGGAGCGGTGAGCTTGGACCAATCTTCGTCTCTGGATTCGTCCGACCAGCGGTTTCCTCCTCCTCCGCCGCCGCTGGAGTAACCCCCGCGATTATAACTGTAGACAATCAGGGTGGATTCCACTATTAATATCTGAACTGTAACTAAACATTAGTACATGCTACAAGACGTATAGAAGTATAACATCTGCTAAAAAAACTAAACGGATAAAGCAATGGGAATGGTCATTGTATTAAGGTTGATTAAAATAACCCACATAATGTTCATTTGAATATTGAGCATGTATCATTGGAATAAGAAGCTGCTATTCTCTTTGGAAATGATCAAATCAAAACACAAGAGGTATCACTTCAATTGAAAGGTTGTCATTGGTGATTAATAATGAATGAAGGATATTTGTTCAGAAAACCTGTTCTAAGAATTTCATAATTGACATTTATTTCTACATAATTACAATATACAGGACTTTGTTATAATGTACAGTATTCTGGTTTAGGACATGTGTAAAAGTTGAATATTAATGCATTTTACCTGCACCATGTCCCTTTTAAAGAGATAATGATTATTCTGATTGATATTGCCTTGGCGAAGTGATTGACAACATTTGAGAGATGTCAATTTTTTCATTAATCTTACATTTTTTCTGAGTATCTGTACCGAAGAAATATGTATGTAGGATTAAAGGTCCTTCGTTGTTGCTTTTTACATTTGTCCGACATAAAGACAGATTAAAAACACAGTACATTAATAACAGCAATAATTCCTACAAACCTTCCCCTTGAGCTTGACCCACGGTCGTTGAAGAAGGTGGACTTTGACCTGTCGTTGTTGCGTCCGCCAAAGCTGTTGTAGGCGGCATCACGAGGAGCTGCAAAGTTTCCTTCACTGCCTACACCTGAAAACAAGCGGACAAAGAGCCGTCAGCGATCGTCCTTTCTGCAAAATCAGCTGAAAGCAAATGCCGCCACTCTCTTACCAAAGGTGGCGGGGGAAAAAGCTCTTTCCCTTTTTAAGACTAAAGAGCACGGGCTACTGTTAATTATTTACCCATCATGCATATTGCAGGGTGTCGGCGTGTATCGTAGCATCTGCAAGAACAAGGGTGGGGGAGGGCTTCCTTCTTTAAGGGATATTTGGGATTTAGTTTTGAAGTGGAGTGAAGTACCTTCTACCTGCAGGAGATGGAGATCCGCTTGCACAAGGTTTGGAGAAAAACCATTCCACACATACGTTATATCCTGCTTTGTACATGTGTTACGTGGCGTGTGGCTAGTGCGTTGGGATCAGGGTTCAAACCCCACTGCAGTCAGCATGTCGTTGTGTCCCTGAGACACTTCACCCCAAATTGCTCCTGTCCACGGTATTAAGTATGCGAGTCGCTTTGGAGAAATGCGTCTAACATGTCATGTCACTGTAAATTTGTAATTCAACATATTTATATTTTCAACTTTTTTTTAATGCCATTTTATCTCTATTGAGACGTTCACATTTTGGAACGCTTATTTCTAGTCTTTTAATTTTTTGTGTACAATGCCATGACTTTTTATCATCGCAAAAAACAAAACAAATTTAGATCAATAAAGTACTTTTTTCTCTCTGTACAATCAGTGCAGACCATCGTCTCATTTCCACTTCTAACTGACAAACATTACTTATCAAAACTTAATAAAAAACATTTTTGATCAGAATAATCGTATTGTGCTGCTCGTTAGCTCCTGTGCTTCTACTCGTATCTCCAAATTGTGTGTGTGTGCAGACCACCATCTTCTCCAAGTACACACACCTCACAGCACTTCAAACCATCAGAACTATCTCTTTAAACTACTCTGTCGTCTCACCAAGCACCAGGGCTTTGGTGAGACACTTTAAGACTCGGCAGGGTCTCCCCACCTGCATTCTGTAACGGTTGATTAAACGACTCTCCCCCCCCTGTTACCACGACAGGGTCTCCCCACCTGCATTCTGTAACGGTTGATTAAACGACTCTCCCCCCCCTGTTACCACGACAGGGTCTCCCCACCTGCATTCTGTAACGGTTGATTAAACGACTCTCCACCCCCCCCCGTTACCACGACAGTCGTGTCGCCCACCTCTATCATTGCGAGGGGCTCCTCGTCCTCCATAGCCCCCATTAGAGCGGTTGTCGTGATAACCATTCACATATCCATTGCTGCGGCCACCGTCCCATCCAGGTGAATCTTCAGGTGGAAGGTGGCACATTTAAAAAAACAAAACAGAATAAAAAGGCTTGTGAGGCAGAGCGTAGTGCTGCACATGTCACTGATCGGCGTCAGAAAGCAAGTTCACATTGGCCTGACTAGCCGTTAGTCTCTCTGAAAGTGACAGGCTTATTTTTAGAGTGACAGGTGGGATGCAAGCAACTCCACTAACACTTGAACTGAAAGGTCTCGTGACATCCAGAGGAAATGTTGTTCAATATTTTAAGTAGGCAAACATATGCAAAGCAAGTTCTATACCTGTACAAGAGCAAGGGTGCAAAGGAGTTAGATTAAAAATAATCATTATCCAAAAAGTCCTAGATTTGTGATGAGAGATGTGGATTTAGGTCAGATTTAGAAGTATGTAGGGCCTCGGAGCTGCGTTGCAATTAAAAAAAAGCAAGAGAGTAATTGCAGAAGTGGGGTGCAGACATTTGAAGTTAGTGTTGCAAGTTAACCATTTTCCAAATCCAGGTACATAAGTAGGGCACGCTGAAAACAATGCAAAGCACTCGCAGCCAAACGTCCTCAGACACAAACGCAGGAGACGTCACAGCTCGCATCAAAACGACATCTCCAAGACCCATAGCGAGGTAACTATTCTTCTCTGAAGCAATGTTGACGTTAAGCGTTCTCACTAAAGGGTTACAAAGACTTTACCCGATGTGTTACGCAGGTTTTTCTTGTTTAACTGACGGGGGAAATCTAACTTTCCTGGCGAACGCTGTATGGGTAAATGTCTGAATGAAATGTTACAAACATTTCAACACACTGCAAGTTGGGTAGTATCATAAGCATTCTTAAACCTTTCATGTCGGGATAAGGGCCTTCTGACAGTCGAGCATCCACAACAAGAAAACTCCATATTCAGGTTTGTAATCAGACACATGGTGGAGAGAAAAAATAACTCACAAGCACGATGTTAATGAGATGCGTGATCGAATGCCATGGTCAATTTTTATATCCAATTGAGCGCCTAATTATATTTGATTACACACGTGCTGCACCATGACTCATCCTTTAGTCAATCTGAGGAAACGAAAGCTTGCAATCTGTGACAGTAATCCAAGGAGGAACCACCGTAAAAAAAAAAACTTTCAATGGACAATGATTTTGTATTCATTCCAATACTCTTCTGCTTCTCTGGGAGGAAATGCATAAACACCACACCTCTACCGCAGAAATTGCGCATCGATGTCAATAAAATCTCATCAATTCCCAGCCCTACTTGTAAGTCTAAGCAAGAAGGGAAATGGGGAATCCAGCAGTGCTTGTAAAAGAAGAATATGTTCCTTCGTGTCACATATTCCAAAAGGGGTCTTGTATCCAGCGTTTCTGCCAGGGGGCCGTCTTACTCAGCTCGGAGCTTGTATCCCTCAGGACTGCTCAGCTTCAAAGACGACATGACACAGGACTCCTTTGACTTTTGATAACCAAGAGCTTCACATGGGCTATAAATGACCCTGAGACAGTCTGCTTTACTGAAAGAACAATCCTGGTGCAGTGACAAACCGGCATGTTTAAGTATTGAGTAGTTTGATTCAATGTTTACGTAGCAAATGCAAAAGAGACTCCTGATAATGGCTCTACGTTCAACTTAAAAACAAGTAACCCTTTCTAACACTACGGGTCAGGAGTGAGCAGTCAAAGAGGTGACGCAGAAGTTGTTTTAAAGATCTAAAGGGGGTTTCACTGGGAACATTAGAGTAGCTGGAACAAAAGCCTGCATTCACTCAATCACTGCACGCAGCACATAGTGTTTTAGTATGCTGTGAGCAACGGCCTGTCTCTGAGGAGGAAACAAAGGCAACGTAAAGCTCAGTGTCCTGTAATATAAAACCCACTTTGAACATCATGACTGCAGGTATGCATATTCCGCTCACTGCCTCAGTGTTATTAGTAAGACAGCCACTGTGCAGTGCAGTCTCAAAGACACCATGCATCAACTTCAAGCTTTAACAAACGCTGCGTTAGCTCCGATTCCTGCTGCTCTTTCCAGGAAGTGACCACGACGAAGCTAGGGCACATTGACTCTGTGTTCAGCCATGTACGCTATGGAAGCTTTAAGTAGATGGCTTGGCATGCAGGTAAAGGTCAAGGTATACCACGTTTATTGGGCCAACCCCCACTGTAGGCATGGTACAAGGAAAGCTCTTGGGTAACCTGAGCAAAGGTAGGGAAGCAGGCTATAAAAAGACTCTCCCATGACTTCTGGCTCATGCAGCTTGACAGTAATAGTTACCAATCTTACAGTCATCCCATCCTGCTGTAGTTATTTCTGTGTCTCTGCCTGCCATGGTTTGAGGGAACTACTAAAGGGAAACTTAAGGGACGTTGAAATATGGGCTTGCATATGTGGTGAAAAAATCATTTAAATGACACCTTGCGTAAGAAAAGCATTATTTAACCCAGCACATGGAATTTCTCTTCATCCCAGCAGAAAAAAGCACATCAATTAAAAATGAGCCCATCATTGACTTTCCCCTTTGCACTGGCTTTGCTGGTGTGTAAAACGGATATTTCATGCATCTGGAAATGCAGGGTTGCCCTCAGCGAAAAGCAGACAGAAGGGACTTACAGAGGTTTACTGGTGCCACTGAATAACCGTACTGTATACCAGCGGAATAACCATTTCCTGCTGTGGAATAAGAAAAGTCAAACGAGAAAGAAACGTCAAGTGTGCAATGACAGTTTTCAATATTTTTTAATTAACTGGCCAATTACGCCAGGCAAAGAATGCATGTTGATTTAAGGCCTTTCAATCGGATCAAACAAGTACAGAAAATGTGTTTGAATCACCTCCTCCTGGATGCAAAAACATTGATGAGAGCAGCCAATAGCTAGCACTCCCTCTG